CAAAAAATTAAAGTTTTAGAGACCAAAATTTAGAGATAAAATTATTTTTTAAGGATCAAATATTTTTATTGCAAAAAGTATCGTTATTATATTTTTCGTAATGAAAATTACTAATTATATTTTTTACAAAATCACTAATTTTTAACTTTTGGTGATAGTTTGAAAAATTCGTCACAAAAGAGTTACTAATTGTAAGTTTTAACAATAATTTATAAAATCATGATAAAAAAGTTACTAATTGTAGACACCCCATTTTTGACCGACCTTGAGACTTAGACGTCACCAGTTGAGCGCTTGGTGATACTGCATATTGTGCTCGTCCAGAAATTTCAGAGTCTCGGCTGCTAGCCTTGCCTCCGGACTTCCGGACTCTTTTGTGCTTTGCCTCGGTTTGCGAACCAGGCTCGGTTTTTTTGTTTTCTTTTCGCGAAGGGAGGAAGAGGTCCCATAGACTATCTCTCAGTGGCCGTGGGCTACATTTTGTGGCTGTAGGCCATTTTGTCCATTTCGGAGCCCGGTTCTCGGTTTTCGGAGCCGTCAGGCCGTGTGCCTCGGTTCGGGACCGCTTAACCATCTCCATTTTCTCCGGTTTTTGGCATAATTCTTATTTGCTCCCTTTTGAGGGACACTAAGGTCTGAGAGACCCACTTCGGGGTCGAATGCCGCTTTCGGTGCTTAACAGGCAGTTTTCGGGACCCCGAACTGCGCGTTCTGGCCCCCGAACATTCATTTTGCATCGGTTTTCGTTCATTTTTGGCAGGTACCTCTGTTTCATCACCAGGAAGGCCGTAGAAGGGTGGGAGGCCAGCAATTGTTTCAAAAAACCAGTTATATTCCTCCGGCGCCCTCTGACGCCCGTTTTCCTCACTTCCGAGCCAATGTTGAACACCCTTGGACCATTTCCTTGAACTTTTAACCACATATTTGTGTTGAACACACATGGGAGGACCCTAAAATTTGATGGCCGGCCACTAATGTTGCTTGACCCTTTTGAACCCCTCCTAAAAATGGCCTATTCTCTCTCATGTTTCACAGTTTGCAAATTTGAACCACAGGGTTGTGTTGAGGGCACCTGGGAGGACACCTATCTGTGGTGGCCAGCCATTAAATCCTTTTGACCTTTTTGACCCTTGGCCGGCCGGCTAGGGGAGGTGGCCGGCCGGCCACCTGCAGCTCCAAAATCCGGATTATCCATGATGGAGTTAGGTTTTGTTGTGTTTTCATGTGCATTCATCCTATATTGAATTGTGCAATTCGACTCCTTGGCCATCATGCGTCGATGGGGAAAAGTCTTGATCCTTTTCCCCCACCCTTTCCCTCCATGCTCCCTCTCTGCTTGGTCCATATAACCAGCCTTCAACTTTGGTCTTAAGGGTTGAAAAAAATTACTTTGAAGCCTTGCATTCATATCTCCTTCTATCTCTCTCTTTCAAGCAAGACATCCAAATCCTACACTTCATTTCTCCATCACCACCAAGCACCACCACCACTACTCCATTTCCAGCAACTTGGGGAGCTTTCCAGCAGCTAGGAGGCACCACTTCTCAAGCCAAGAAGCAACCAAAGACTTGTCTTCAAGGGTGAGTACCATTTCCCCATTTTTGAGCTTATTTTTGCATCATTTATAAGCCATACATGCTTGCTGTTTTGAGCTTCGTCCCTAACTGAAAGTGGCCTTATTTTGAGCTCTTTTTCACTTTTACTTAAGGGCCTCTCACTGTTTAAAGCCCTCTTGATGCACTTGCTTCATTATCCTTCTTAAATACCGTTATCTTGCGTAGTATTTTTGGCCTGTGTATAATCTGTTTTGAGCACTGTCATGAACTGAAAAGTTTCTTATTTTGAGCCCTTCTTCAACATTGTTGAAGGGATCATTTCTGTTTGGGACCTCCATGTGCCACTTGCCATTATACCTCTATTTTGGGTCCATTTTTGCATGACTTGGCAGCCTATTATGCTTCTGTTTTTGGTCATTTTACAGCACTAAAAATAGTCTCATTTTGGCCCATTCTTCATGTTTCATTAAGGGCCTTTCATGGTTTGGGACCTCCATATGCCACTTCATGTTATATCCCTCTTTGGCCCCCTTTTCTTGTATGTTTTGGCAGCCTATTATGCTTCGGTTTTTGGTCATTTCACAGCACTTAAAACAGTCTTATTTTGGCCCATTATTCATGTTTCATTAAGGGTCTTTGGCTGTTTGATGGATGTTTTGTATACTTTGTGCTTTGGCCATCTTTTGGCCCATTTCTTACATGAGAGTTTAGCTATACTTGTGCTGGTTTTTGCGGTTTGCCATAAACTGTAAAAGATCATATTTTTCGCCCCTCTTCAATATTGTAGAAGGCCCCTAATCTGTTTGGGGTCAGCAGCTGTGAGTTGCTTCATTATCTCATATTTAGGGCCATTTTTGCATGCTATTTTTGCCCTATATATGTTTGCTGTTTGGCCATTCTTTTAACTGTAAAAATGCTTGTCTAGGGGCTTCCTTGCTTCTGTCTTTTCATCTCATGTTCAAATTATGAATGCATTACATAGCTACAGGCCATTTCATGCGCCAAAATCCATGTTTCGGGAGAGATTCCATGCATCGGGTGTCATTTCGCCTTATTTCGGGGCTGTTTTCCCCTTTATTTTGCTACTGTTTTTTTTCATGTTTGCATGTCACATTCCATGTCTTCGCCATGTCTCATTAGAGTGGCATTTCGGTGCCTAAGGGTCGGTTCTCGGTTTGCGTGCACGTGTGCACGCATTTCGAGTTGTCTTGTTTTCATCTGATGGCCTCCTATGTGAGTGTGGCTGAGGCTCTCTCATGTTGGTGTAAGCCCATCATTGCATTGCGTATGCCATTTCATCCATAGCATTGTGTATGCTCGGTTGTGTATTACCTCGTGCAGCGTGTATGCCATTCCATGACATTGTGTATGTTAGGATTGTATCTTAGTTGCATTTCATGCATACCATGCATATTGCATCGTGTTCGGGATAGGAGTTAGCCCGGGCACGGGAAACGAGGTGCATTTCGTACTCCGAGTGACGGAATGTGTCCCAATTCCCCAGTCACCGACACTCCGGATTATCCATGATGGAGTTAGGTTTTGTTGTGTCTATACGTGCATTCATCCCATATTGAGTTGCACATTTCGACCCCTCGGCCATCATGCATCGATATGCGTGATTGGTGGCGCGAGGATCGAGGCATGCATATATCTGTGAAAATACATTGCCATGCCCCTTTCCTGCTCTCTGTTGCAGCAAAATGAAGAATCAGCAACTTTTCAAAGTTTGGCACGCATTTCAAGAACAGGCGCAAACAGAGGCTAATTAGGGCATCGTCATGGATTTCCGCACAAGGCAGCCTAAACATACATCCTTCAGAAGAGTCAAGGCAGTCCCTGGCTCGCACGCCAGTTTTACAGCTTTCTTAGTTAATTTATAAATTAATTAGGAATTTGTACATTATTTGGACTGTAATATTCTTTCATTCGGGACTGTATATTCATTTGGACTCTCTGCGCGAGGGCATAATTGTAATAAGTGTGCGTGAGTGCGATGTATGTCTTCCAACCCCACGTCTTTCTTCCCTTTTATTTACCTGCTTATGACGTTTAGATTAGAGCATATTTCAATTAGCATATAGTATGACAGCATGTTTGCATCAATCATCTGTTTTGCATGTACCGGGCTTGGCGCATCATACTAACTGCATCTGTATTTCAATTCCAAGTTGAATACATGTTAGCTGTAGCATTCCATGTGCCATGTTTAGAATAGCCGAGCCTGCTATAGTTTGTATTTTGGTGCATGTGTTGCATTAGGCATTTCTGTATACTTAGGATCATGCATGATTTCTAAAGTAGTTTCTGTTTTGGCTTGGAGTACTAGGTGAGTTTTTATGCTTTAGCATCCTTGCATGCGTGTGAGTGACTGCCATGAATAGCATGCTTACCATGAGGCTATATGCTTATGTGATATAACTGCCTGAATGCCTGTGGGTGAAGGTTGGGTTGTTTGGATTGGAACAAATCATTGACTGTGAGTTTTAAGCCCACTAGATAGTGGCAAAACCATCTTTTCTAAGCCCACCCGAGGGTGGCAAAATCTGCATTTTAAGCCTACTTGCGAGTAGCAAATCATCTTTCAAAAGCAAACATGAAATGTTTTGTTCCAATTCAGGCGAACCAGTCTATACTTGTATGCTGTGCGCATCACATAGTAATCTAGGCTAATAACCGGAATAAAAACACACAATATTTTCAAAAATAGATATCATGGTTAGTAGAGGCCGATCTTTGATCGGGCGAGCGGGGGTGCTCACGAAGTGACCTTCCCCAATCGTACCCAAGTTCCCGAGCCGAGGCAACTTTGGTGATGACGGACACGTGCCCTTTGGCACCGAGTCAGGGTTTTCTAAATTTCCCATTTAAAAAACATTTAGGTGGCGACTCTGTATCTGGCAAAGCAGTCCATGTTTGGCACTTCTTTCAAAATCTGTTTTTCTCAAAACAATTTGCCGGATTTGGACTCTTTGGTTCAGACTTAGAACCGTGACAAATTTGAGAGTCCTGAGCTGTGGTGACCCCAAATGAACAGAACGGGAGCTCGTTCCTCCCGGGGCGTTCGGGGACGTCTACACTAATTATCAATTTTTAGTACATATACAAAAAATTGTCATAAAAAAATTATTTTTAACGACCATTGTATTAAAACTTATTTTCAATGAGACTTTATAAAAATTATATTTAACTACTAAGATTTATTAATAATTTACCTAGCTCTTAATTTGGTGTATTATATATATATATATTGATTGTGTATTTGTATGAATATTGAATGTGAAGTGAAGAGAAACAGTCACATGTGTTAATGTTTGAACTTTAAAAAGAGGAGAGAGAGAGAGAGAGAGAGAGAGAGAGAGAGAGAGAGAGAGAGAGTATAGAAGATTGAGTGCAACAAACAAAATTACGAGTGTAACAAACAAAATTTTGCGTGCAAACAAATAAAATAAATGCAATAAAAAAAGTTTATTAATCTTTTTGGATCGAATTGATGGAGTCAGCGGACACAGTCTATCCCTGCAAAGTACAAAAATCTTTGATCGTTTTCTCTCTCCAACCATTTATGACTAGGTCACAGTGGGAGTGGCTAAGACCAAAAAGATTACATAAATTCAATGAATGAGTCCCTCCAATCTTTCATGCATTCTTGAAGTCTCTATCCCAATTCTTGAATATAAAATCTGCAAATCATCAGTCAGCTTGCGTTAATATGGTTGATGGACCCACTCCAACATCATCATCATGCAATGGAAATTACTTTTATTAGCATTGTAATGACTAAATTTTTATATAATATTTATATATTATTTCATGTCTCATTATATTGAATTTCGTTTTTTAAGCATAGTATTAATACATAAATAAAGTATGAAGCATCTTCTAAATTGAACAAATGACTGACTTTCAATAAGACGAAAATAAAATTCCTAGTTTTATTCTCTAAAATGAACTAAAGGGATGTCTCTAAATGTATTGAATTTCGTTTTTTAATGCATGATATCAATACATAAATAATGTATGAAGTATCACAACAATTAATGAACAAATTTAATATAAAAAATAAAATAAATTTTATCATTGTAACATTATATTTTTATATGTTCAAGTAAGGATGTGAATGGCCATAAAAAAATGAAAATAAAAAAATAAAAAATCTATGACTGGATTGGTTTGACCAAATTAGACTCAACCCCACCCAACCTGAATCCATTAAAGAAAATTTGACATGATAATCTGATCAAATTTGAATTTGAATGTTTTGATTATTAACTATTGAAATTAGATAAATCCGATTGGACTATTTTTAAATTTTTTTTTAACACACTTTAACTCTAATCACACTCGTAAAACAATAAATTTTTATAATGCATGAATTTTCAATCACTCACTGTCAGTATGCAATAAAACAAATTATTTTCTCATGTAGTTTCTTATTTATTGTTTTATTCTTTCTCATTTTCTCTTTTTACATCCAAACTCCCCTTCTATGCCATCATATCATTCCCTCCCTCTCTTTTCCTTACATTTGAATTTGAGTAATTAAAAAATGAAAATAAAATTTGAATTTGATTGCATATCAATTGAATCGGAGTCAAATTTGAATGAAATTTTATTGAATTTTTCATAATCAAATTCAATTTGAATTCAGTTTTTCTTTTTAAATAAGCAAATTATATTTGAGTCATGTCAAGTCCGGATCTCCTTACGCCGGCCTAAATCCAAAGTAGCACGGATGGTTCTATACAAGCGAATGTATTGGGTGATTTTAGAATATTAGTTTATACCATTCAACATATAATATTTAGCCTGTGTTTGGCAAGTGGATTTGTAGGTTTTTTTGGTTATTTTAGCCACAAAAAACAAAATAGGCTATTTTAACCATAACAAACAAAACATCACATCCAACCCATAATCATTACATTCTTCTCTCACAAAAAAACTCAAAAAAGCCAAAAAGCCCTTCCCAAACCAAGCTTTTAAGCCCAGGCTAAAATAGCCAAAAAAGCCAAAAAGCCAACCCACTTCCCAAACGGAGGCTTATGGGTTATTTGGAAAGTCTTAGATTAATATATTTTTGATTTTTTATGAAAAAACGTGAAATATGAATTGGGTTTAAAGTGATATGGTAGAGATGTAATGTGATTTAAATAAGACGATTGTGATCCAAATAGAATAATGTGTTAAAATATATGCTATTTTAGCACATACCAAACAAATACTTGTTATATTATTTTTCAAAAATTACATAAAAAATATTGATTCTTACCGAATTAGGATTATTTTGAGGCATGGTTTAAAAGTCATTTTTTTTGATTTTTTTTGACTTCTTTTTAAAAAAACATGTAAAACATTAAAGAGATAAAATGACTTAAAAAAATTTGAAATACTAAAAAATTAACTTTTAACTCGATTGTTAAATGATTGTTTTGAAAAGATAGTAAAAAGTGATTTTTTGACTTTTAATCAAGTTTTTTGGCTTTTTTATAAAGTCATTTGAGAAATTGATAAAAAATTACTTTTTGACTTTTTTAGTTAATCATTTTTAATATTGCCACATCACCATGTCATAATGTAAAATGACCAAAATATCCCCTCCCATGCAAAATGATAGTGTTTGTCTCTACAAATCTTATAGTGAATGGGGGGTATATTCATAAATTACCATATAACTTATAGCCAACTTTCCAAATGGCATCAACCACCCAAAAAAAAAAAAAAAAAACCAATTTTTAACATTTCAAAAAAGTCCAAAGGAGACTTTTGATTACATTCCCAAAATAAGACAAAATAAGTCTTCATCCATAAAATTTAATTGTAACATCACGTCAACTTATCCAAGACCAGCAAATAATCTCCACCATGAAAACTTGTGGAGGCTGGAGTCTGCATTGACGTGTGGACCGAATTGTACAAGGACAATAAAAAATTCAGTTTGGTCAGGCAATTGCTTGCTATAAACATTTGGCAGAATTACATGGTAGTGGTGTTTTAAAAGATTAATTACGAATTGATAAAATAATAAAATAAAATTACAAAAATATTTTGAGACTCAATAATTTCTCACAATTTAACCAAAAATGATATGATTCGACAAATATTAATTTTTGATTGATCATACACTCAATTATATAAAACTCATCATCTTTGTCACATCATTATAGATGCATTTGTGGGTGCAAAATGTAGATTTCTAATATTATTGAAAAAATTATGACTTTGCATTTTAATATTTGTACAGTGTATTATTGATTTAAAAATATACACCCAAATGTAATTTTTCCAAAATATTTTTAATGAGATGGTTAAATCTATATATTAAAATATGTGCTATTTATTTAAAAAATGCTAAAAGAAAGACTAAACTGACTGTTTGGGGTGTTAAGAAAAAAAAAATTAAAAATTCAATAAACTATTTGTCACCAGCGGACAAAGTTAAATATCGCATTAATTTTTTTTCAAAAAAAAAAAATCTTTTAACGACTTTCTAAGCACATCAACTTTTTTAACTTATAAAAAAATTAAAAAGTCAAAAAATTACTAAAAAACCAACCATAATCCCAAACCCACCCATTTTATTTTTCTATTTAATTGTTTATTAATTTAGAAAGTAAATGATTACTCTAAAAGTGTAATTAAAATGTGTCAAGTAATGTATATACATATACACACAACGGAGCAGCTCCTAGCCAACCCGTCACACTATCCAAATTGTTCATTTTGTGGAGCTCATTAAACACATTATTCATTCAAAAAATCAAGTTGATCGAACATTATTGGTAGTCATTTGATTTGATAATATTTGTCTAGAAAAATAAAAAAATAAAATAAAAATAAACGGGCTATCTTCAAAATTATATAATTTGTCCATTTTTTGTAGACAAATATAATCTGATCAAATCACTAAATCAACTTATTTTTTTTTTGTATAAATAATGTGCACAACAAACTTAACAAAACGAACTATTACAATGAGCCGAATCAGACCTTTCTAGTTCAATAACATGTAGGAGAGAAGTTGCTTCCCTTATATTAAGGGTTGTTTGGAATGACCTAAATAAGTGTATTTTTTGTCTTTTTACGAAAAGATGTGCAAAAAGTAGAGTGATGATGTGATGAAAAAAAGATAAAAAGTATATACTTATTTAGGATAGCCAAACTTGGCCTAAATATAACTTTAAAAAAGTACAAAATAAAAAAAAAAAAACCATACAGTTGACCCAAATCTAAGCCAATAAATAGACTTTCGTAAAAGAGAGAGTCTATGCATCCAAAAATATGGACCAGAAATTGACCTAGAATAGTGATGCATGGTTGAGATCTATTTTTTATATAGTGGGATAATTAATCTTAACCGTAAAATGTATTTTTCTGATATTTTTCTAGGACTATAGAACTTTATAAATTATATATATATATATATATACCTGAGCATGAATGGTGTAGAAGGTTTGGTTTCCCACAGTAGAGTAACTAGCACTTACAACTTCAAGTCCTTCTTCCTTGAGAACACTCAAAACTTCATGTAACTTGAATTTCTTGTCCAACCCAGTACTCAAATTCACCTCCAAAGTTGAACCCATGTGTCGTACCATCAAGACCGGTAACCTCTCCTCAGAACCACCCTCATCGCCTTTAAGGGTTGCCTTCCTCCGCTTCAGCTCCTCCACATTCTGTTTCAGCTCCACCACATACTTGGTGGCTTGCTCCAACATATCACGTAATGGCAATCCTTCCTATCAAAAAATAAAATAAAATTTAAAAAAATAAAAAAATAAAAAAATCATATTAAGCTTGATGATATGTCAAAAATATATTACATTACAAGTAAATATTAGATATAAGAATAATTGATCCGAATTGTTTTCATTATTTTCATATCTGTAATAGTGCGAAAAGAAGACCCAACTCTGAGGACCAACTAGGGAAAAAAGTCTATTTACAGACCAGGGCCATAAAGGCTGGTGAACTGCGGTTGTACTTTAATTGCGATAAGGTAGCTTAGGTTTCGAAATTTCTTACTAGGTAAGCTTTGACCGGCATGAAAGGCACAACAATTTGGGGATTGTTTTTAACGTTGTGTTTGGTTTGAAGATTTAGAGAGAAATTTAGAAAGAAAAAGAAAAAAAGTACGTGAAACTAAGTGAAATTTAAGTATATTTTATTTATATTTTCCTACTTTTTTTATTTTTCTTCTTAAATCCCTCAATTAAACAGAGTGTGCAACAGTAATGATGTCATATTACTAATAAACAATAAAGTCATGATGTAGAGAGTCAATCTCATTTTTCAGGTACAACTAGCTTGCCACATATACATAAAAGGTAAAAGATAAGAAATTATTGATTAGTGATACTAATAATATGAACAAGAAATTATTGAATAGTGATACTAATATTCTCATTTTTCAGGTATCACCGCTGTATTGAAGTTTGTTTCTTTTTTTTTTTTTCTTTTTCTCAAAAAGAGACTATGAAATGAAGATGCAGACTACCTGCACCGGGAGGCAACAATGGAGAATTTTTCGCAATGGAAAAAAGCCTCACGAATCAACGCTGCGTAGATAACTTTTTGTAAAAGTAAGTCAAAAAATATACAGTGGGGCTTTAGTTGCTCTGCTTGGATTGGCATCATAGTTCACCATGCATGAAGTGTATTATCAAATTGAAGTTATATATATTTTCTCCATGGAGAGAGAGAGAGAGAGAAAGAGAGAGAGAGAGAGAGAGAGAGAGAGTACCTCTGAGGGTTGTTTAAGGATGAGAGAAGCAAGCTTGGAATAGAGATCTTTGAGTTGCAATCTTCGGCTTTTCTCAATTTCATTTCGATTAAGTTTTGATGAGCTACCACTCCCCCTTGGCTGCATTTTGTATCTTCTCAATCTGAGCTCTCTCTTTCTCCACAAAAGCAACCAAAGATGCTATATATATATATATATATGGAGAGAGAGAGAGAGAGAGAGAGCCCCAGATGCGTTGACAACATGTATGTGTATGTGTATGAACACACGTGCTCTGATCTAATTTTTTTTGGAGAGAGAGATTGGTTTTAGAGAATATCTACTGTAAACACTTAGGCAAGGATGGACCCCAAGAGGAAATCAACACCCTACGATTTTAAATCTTAATAGATAGATTTATAATTTAATAATTTCTATGAAAATTAATGATATTTTTTTATCAAATATTATTAAAAAATGTCACTAATTAATTGTTAATTTTCAGTAACAGTTTGAAAATTGTCATAAAAAATATCATAATTATAAGTTTTAACAACAGTTTAAAAAAATTGTCAAAAAAAAATTACTAATTTTTAATTTTCAGTGACAATTTAAAAAATTAATCACAGAAAAAAGTTACTAATTTTAAGTTTTAGCGATAATTTATAAAAATAATGACAAAAAAATGACTAATTGTCAATTCTTAGTGACATACAAAAAATCATCTAGAAAAATTATTTTGAACGACGCACTGCTAGAAATGAGGGTTTTAGCGGCGTATAGGTCTCATAAAGGCCATCTAAACCTTTTGTGACGTTTTGCACCAAGCGCCGAAGATGCGGCCGTCGCTATAACTCTGCGATGCTTTAGAAACGTGGCTATTTACTATAGGCGGCGTTTTATAAAAACGCCGTCGTACTCTTTTTGAAAAATCTAACCATTGATATAATATTTAGCGACGTTTTTAGAAACGCCGTGGTAGTAGGCCCTTTTTATAAAAAAAAATTGTGCTAATTTTATATGATTGAACTAAAAAATCTGAAAAATAACACTAACATGAAATAATAACTCTCATTCAAATATCAAATACAATATTAGTTCACTTTCCCATTCAATTTAATATCCAATCACCATTAATCACAAAATAACATATTCACAAATCATGTTTTAACAAAGACATTAACCGAGAAAGAAGTGTTGAGCTATAATGGTTGATCCAACTATACAAGAGATGGCAAATTACTACCAAGAAAATTATCCCCAACTCAAGATATCACCAAAGTAAGAGACTATTGAACTTTACTAGATTGCATTTCAAAAATCTATTCCTGCCTGTAACATAAATTTCAAGTTTGGATGAGTTAAATTCAAATTGATTCAAATTGATGAGAGAGTTCACTGTTAGTCTTCATTGGTTTACATACCTGCATCAGAACATAAATTACAATCAGATTCACCAAAATAAACATAAATTGAAGAATTTGTAAACTTAATTTTCTTAATCACTTGATTGCATTTATTTATTTTTAATTGTTTAATTTTTTTGGTAGAGGTGGTTAGAGTTTTGCTCCTGACACAAATCTATGATTTAAGTTACAACTTTACTCCTTCAATAGTATTTAAACAAAAACTAGGGCTAAAATTTTTGTTTTCGTCCAGAATTGAAAAGAAGCTTTAAAAACAATTTAGGTTTTAACAGAAGGCTCTGTTTAAGGGATTTATTACATTTCTTTATTTATTATTTTTCCAAAAAAGACTAAAGCCCATCAATATAAACTTTAAGCCTATCATTGGCAACTGTAATTAAGCTCTATATTCCCTTTCTTAATTGGAATCCCAATTTTGTGCATTAACAAACAAAAGTTCATATGCCAAAATCCTCTCCTTAAAGAGGACCTACAAAAATTTTGTTGTGTTACAGAAATTAGGCTATCAAATCCCAAGGATTTTAGTTGGCAAGTCACCAACCAAAAAATGAAGGGAAAAACACTGACCAACCCACATACCCTTATCTCAAAATGCAATATTTATCACAATATTCAGTAACATAACTAAAATGGCGACGACTCAAAGGAGAAGAAAAGGCAAAAGTGAACCTGTAAGAGAGTCCAAGCATGCTGCAGTAACAGGGCAACCTTCCATGTTCAATAGAGAGAGCTTGAGCAAACCTGCAATGCACACAGAATAAGAGAGACTATTATTGCAAAGAATTGCAACACTTGTTTGCTTTTCTTGTTGACAAATGAAAAGTGCTTTAATACACTATTGTAGAGAAAAACTACATTTTAGGAGAGTTTTTATTTTTTGATAGATATTGTAGGAGTTACATTTTAGGGAATGGATTTAGTTTTGGGGTTCTTGTGTCTAATTAATTTTTTTTTTTCTTTTGCTGTACATCATATATTTGCTGATCATTCATGTTGATAATGCAATGATTCATGTTGATAATGCAATGATTGCTGGTGTGCATCATATATTTGTTATAGAAGAAACCTTCCTGAATGTAGCAAGGCCACACACCATTTCAAGCATTAGCATACACTAAATGAGTATGTGTGTGATGAGAACCATCAATTTGATCCATTAATGTATATTAACTACAGTGACATGATCTGAGAATTGACCAAAAATATGTAAAGAAGTATTTCTTACTTGTGTAATAGGCATAGCAAAGAAATAATCTACAAAATCGAAGGGGGTGATGACTCGCAACCGCCATTTGAGTTTGGCCATGACAAAGAGCTCCATACGTTGAACTGTTTTGGGCTCAAACATGAATTTTGGTTCTAATACTTGTAAGTCTAACAAAACAGGAGCTCTTGTTTACTCCATTTTGGCAGCCAGAGACAAGCATGCCACCGATAGTAACTGCCACAACCATCTTTTCCCCTCCTGTGCTGAACGATACTTGTTAATAATAAATAATAAATTTATTATTAAAATAAAATAAAATAAAAAACAGAAGAATTTGAATTTGGAGCCATGGATTAGTGTCTTCATTCAATGGTATGATTGATTTTGAGCAACGCTATAAAAGCACGATATGTGTGTACTTATCATTTCATCTCTTAGATTAACAACCACATTGACTTTTGTAACACAAGCATATGCAGTTTATTCAATTCAAGGGCTAGTTACCAACAAGAAGCTTGTTATAAAATTTATAATAAAAAAAAAACACAAGAAAGTTTTTGAATTGATGACAAGTTAATATACGTTTGGGAGTGTTATGATTTTGCCTGGACGCGTGTCACGATCTTCTAACTTGTGTAAAGGACATCAAATCATAAAGTTTCAAGTGATAACTTGTGTAATAGGCATAGCATTCGATGGCTGTCTTTCCGACTTGACAAAGTAGTAGAAGAGTTGTTTTGCAGGATTCCCATCTATTGATACATACCTTCACATCACACCCAAAATCAAAACATTTCTAAGTTATGTTTAGAATTTGAATTTGTTGAGAAAAAAAAATGAATAATGGGGAAATAAAATTACTTGTACTTCTTGATTTTCTATGATAATCAAACAAAAGAAGAAGAAGAAAACAAACTTATGGAAAATGCCTACTCAATTTCTTCACATTTTTCAGAAAATTTTTATTTTCTTGACAATTCTAGGAACCAAACAAAGCTGTGAAGTCAAAATACACAAAATGGTAAGGAAGAGGCATACCCAGAGTAACGCTTTGATGGAAAAGTAGCATTGAAACCTAGAAGCTTTGTGATGAGAGAATTTGCAGGAACTGTTTCAGTTAGACCAAAACCCAAACACATGCAAAGCGAAATGAATAAGAATGTACAACCCATGGTCATGACCAAGTATTTTACATAAAAACCAATGAAATTACAAGTCCTTTTAAGTGTGATGAATCAGAATCACACAATCATAAAAAATATAAAAAACATAGGTTGGGGTGGAAATGGAAAGAATCGAAGGAAAAAGAATGAAAGAAGAAGGCAAAGCGGTTAGGAGAAACTGGGAAATGATAACAAAGGGGAAAGAATCATCCACAACACATGAAATGAGAGGAGAGTGAAATTAAAGAAGACTTTACTTTTTGGATTCATTCTTCCTTTCCTTTTAACACCCTGTTTTGGCATTTTGTAGGTTTTTTTTGAAACCTCCCTCCCTCCACACATGCAATGCAAACCTCTTCTATCTCATAGAGCAATGAAGAGAATATGTGAAATTCGATCGGAGAGATTGAGAAAGTAGATTTGATATTACCATAATAGCAGATCGGAGAGGCAGAGAGAGCAGATCTGATCGGATAGAGAGCAGATCTGAGAATAAGATCTACATCTCTACGTCGTTGAGCTTGCTTTGACTCACTGTTGGTAACGATCCAGATCCAATGCTGCTTGCTATCCTGTACGTGATCAGAGACATTAACACTGCACTCAAAACCCTAGAAAAATCGATTTGAAAAGAGAAAATACAAAACAGAAGAAAAGAAATTAGAAATCAACCATAAATCGTTAGTCTAAACCATTAAAGTCTACAGATCTTGTGTGAATGTAACAAATCCATATCAAAAAACTCTAACCTTGAGCCCTAGATCGACTTAGATAAGAGGGATTCAAACAATATTACAGACAAACATTCAAATCAAGTGTAGAACAAGCATTTCCAGATCATACAACCAAAGAATCGACAGAGATCGAAGATCCAAGGCCTTGATTTCTCTCTCTGCCTCTCTCTCTCTCTCTCAAAAGCAACGCTGTGTTCTCTAAGGCCGCGCCTCTCTTTTGATCAGAGAAGTCCTGCTTCTTCAATCACAAGTAAATGTTATTTCACAATTTTTTTAATATTGGTGTACAAAACGAGATGAGTAATTAAATTTGTTCAAAATGGAGAAAAGTATAGGAGATTTCACGACGTTTTTCAAAAACGTCAGAAAAAAAAACGTGGTGATAGCCTCTTTTTCTTGTAGTGACGATTTTACTAGAACTAATTTTCAACAGAACTTAATAGAAATTAAGTCAAACTATAAGGACATATTGGTAGTTTACTTTTATATTATAATATTATTATTTATATATTATAGAGACTTGCTCTCTCTACTTTTTTTTTTTTAAGAAATTTTTTAAGTAAATTTCACTATATATATGAAATATAGGATCAAAATATAATATTAAAAAAATAGATAAAACTAATAAAAAAATTATTTTTTTATAACTATTGTTAACTACAAGTCGAAATTTCTAAATAATTGAATACGGTATTAGCTAATTATTTAATCACGTTGATTGACAAAGAAATTGTATGATATTTTAATATGAATTCTATCATAAATATTTTTAGTAACGTGATCTAATGTCGAGCATAACAATTCAAGATGCCTCAATTTAATATATAAATTATTTTATAGTTACTATTTTTTATAACAAAATGTGGATACAAAATATATATATACTATTTATATAATTCATCTTATTTTTATTTGTTAAATTAATAGAACTTGGCATTATAATTTATACTTTCTTTTTAAAATTTTTGTTAATATATATGTTCACCTTCTTATACGAAAATTTTAAATCCGTTCATGTAATTAAGGTCTCGTTTGGTAACATTAATTTTTAGTTTAAAAGTTAAAAAATCATTAAAAAACTAAAAAATTAACGACTTATACTAAAAAGTCAAAGATTTCGTTTTTTCTAACAATTAAAAATAAAAAGAATAAACGAGATTCATTTTAAATATGACCTATATAATAATAAATTTGAATATGCGTTTAATTTTCTAAATATTTTATCTAGATGACCTAACTTTTCCACTATAAGAAACATGTCTCTCCATAGTTCACTAGGTGAGAGAGAAACTTAAAAATAATGGGCTCCCTTACACAGCACAAACTTCCTATTATAGACTTCACTAAAGAAAACTTGAAGCCTGGTACAAGTTCATGGCACAAGGCAAGCAAACAAGTCCTTTCTGCCCTAGAAGAGTATGGGTGTTTCGTAGCCGTGTATGATGAAGTTTCATTAGATCTTCACGACAAAGTTTTCAACAAGTTGGAAGAGCTGTTTGATCTCCCCACAGCTACCAAAATGCAAAACAAGTCCAGTAAACCTTTGTATGGCTATGTGGGTCAAATCCCAGTAGTCCCACTCTATGAAAGTATGGGGATTGATGATGCAAATACACTTGAAGGAATTCAAAACTTCACCAGAATCATGTGGCCCAATGGAAATGATGGTTTTAGGTATAATTCATTTTATTTTCTCATATTAACTTTGTGTATGACTTGATGATTAATGATAGAAATATAGAAATCGATCACAAAAATATTGTTTAGAAAGAAAAAAAAAGGTCTGTTTTTGGGACTGGTTTCTGTGTGAGTAGTTCAAATTGATAAGCAATCTGAGACCCCACACACTCAAGCCACTCAAGCAGCCAAACAAGCTACTGTTTCAGCACAGAAGGCTTCAGCTTATCAGTGCATTCTAGAGTATTCTTGAGGTAGTTAGTTTGTTAGGAAGGTAGTTAGTTTGTTAGGCCTTAACCACAAGTAGTTAATTGTTGGTTAGGTAGTTGTGGTCATTATCTCTTGTTATATATACATAGACCATCTCTGTATTTTGTGTGGAAGTGAATAATATCAAGAACTCCATTTCTCTTTAAAAAGGACTAATATGTATTGGTAGCTTAAGGTTTAGGATATACTTCTTACCATACTTACACATCAATGTAGTTTCTTTTCTTATTATCTCAATGTAATTTATTCTCAAGTTAGTAAATTTTGAATAATAGTAGAGATCATGAAAAAAAAATATCATAAAATATTTTATAAAGATTTTTTATTTCTTAATTAGTGTATGGTATTTTTTAATATATGTAATCTAATGATGAAGAATTTTTTATGATCATTTTCATAATATTTTTTTCATGATACGTAACATTATTCGAGAAAAAATATAAAGAAATGTGAAGGAAAACACTTTAGAATCTATTTGGTTACAACATCTCTAATCTTTTATCAAATATTTTATTATATTTAAATAAAAATTTAATATGATATAATTTATTGTAATAATAACTTTAAAATTTTTATCAAATTTTGTTACAAGCACGATTATTTGGGATGACATCTGCAACAAGCACGATTGTCCGGGAGAACGTTCGGGCGAATGCTCGAACATGAATAAATTTGGCGTTCAAATAAAAAAAATCCGATTATCCGGAAGGATGTCTAGGGGGACTTTCGGCCCAACGACCACCTACAAAATTTGAAGTAAAGTCAAAAACACTTTTAATTTGATGAAAAATTTAACTCCCCTTCATTTGATGTCGATTTAATGAAATGGTTCGACTATCATTTTAATAATTTTTTTATCAAATTTAAATTTGATAACACATTTGATGAAGGATTAGAAATAGCCTTAGAAAGGAAAATTAATAAAGTAAAAGAGAAAAAAAAATCAGTTCAAAAGAAAACAAATAAAAAGAAAAGTATATTTTTCCTGTAAGTATTTGATTAGGATAATGAAATTTTGTATAAAAAAATTAGAGAAATTGAAAATTTTAACTATAGATAATTATTATATGGACAAATTTAAAATTTATTTGTTTTCTTATATTTTTAACAAGAAATTATAAAGTTAGTTACAATGCTAATCTATATATTATATAAGGAAAAGTGGTTTTTAGTAGGGAGTCTTGTGAGACACTATAGCATTTTCTTAGTTTAGTGACATTTGAAAGTGTCACAAAACTATTCTTCTAATGACATTTTTTAGTCTTGTGGCATTTTGAACAAGTGTCATTTATACCCCGTGCCACAGTAGATACTCGTGCCACGGCAGATACTTGTAAGTGCCACTACACCATTATGGCTAAAAACTTTCAATAACATTTTAATGTCATGATAGATACAATTTGTGACACTATCAAGTGCCATTAAAAAAAGAGATAGTGACACTTCAGTGACACTTATAAGTGTCATTACACCATAAGGGCTAAAACTTTCAGTGACACTTTAATGTCATGGTAGACACTATTCGTGACGCTATCAAGTGCTATTAAAGAAGACTTACAATCTAAAAAATGTCACGATATGAATTTTTAATGACGTTTGTTATGCCACAATTGATATTTATAACAACTTCATAAATGCCACTAAATCCAATTCATTTGTGCCATCAAATGGATATAAGTGCCATTGGAACTTATTTTAGTGACACTTTGCAAAGCTACTATCACTACTACAAAATGTCACTTATATGTTCTTTTCAAACATTTTCTTAATTTACTGACATTTGAAAGTGCCACAAAACTATTATTCTAATGACATTTTTAGTCTTGTGGCATTTTAAACAAGTGTCATTTATACCCATGCCATGATAAATACTTGCAAGTGCCACTACACCATCATGGCTAAAAACTTTCAATAACATTTTAATGTCATGATAGATACAATTTGTGACACTATCAAGTGCCATTAAAAAAAGAGATAGTGACACTTCAGTGACACTTATAAGTGTCATTACACCATAAGGGCTAAAACTTTCAGTGACACTTTAATGTCATGGTAGATACTATTCGTGACGCTATCAAGTGCTATTAAAGAAGACTTACAATCTAAAAAATGTCACGATATGAATTTTTAATGACGCTTGTTATGCCACAATTGATATTTATAACAACTTCATAAATGCCTCTAAATCCAATTCATTTGTGCCATCAAATGGACATAAGTGCCATTAGAACTTATTTTAGTGACACTTTGCAAAGCTACTATCACTACTACAAAATGTCACTTATATGTTCTTTTCATTGACACTTTTAAAAGCTACAACTAAGCATGCGTAAATGCCTGTAAAAATTGAATCGATTTTATAAACAATTAAATATTAATTGCCACATCCTAGATTAATTTGACATCCATTCATCCTATAATATTTTCATAATAATAAACAAATATTACCACCATAGGATCATCACATCAAAAATAAAAACAAAAATTCAAATTACAATCAATTTTTTTTATCTAAAAATATAAATTTATTTATATTGCAATAAAAATCATAATAAAATTATAAAATATTCTATCACACTAACAGAGTTAAAACTAAAAAAATTTAAAAGAAAATTATTCCAACTATAAGTTCTGAAAAGCTATAGTGATATCTATCTTCCGGAGAGACAAACTATCAAAACAAATTTAGTTCCCAAATTCTCAACCTCACTTATATAAATATTCTTGGCTGGCATCCATAACTTGCGAAATCTGCATCCAAAATATAAACATATAAAGATAATTGAAATTATATTAAGTTAATATAAATTTGTTAATAAAATTAGTATTTACGAAAGAAATATACCACAAATGGAGTTGGCCAAGCAACATTAGCTCCAATAGCTTGTACAATTGTTTTGACAAGTCCATATGATCGAATTAAACTCTCATTAGGTTTGACTGGCACTTGAACATGTACTTCCCAATAGTCAGGTCTTAATTTTTTCCCTTTTACTGCTTTAGATGGGTCTGTGCTTTTAAGTACTCCGATTGTAACTATTTTTGTTGGCCTAATGATACTTTTTAGAACAACTATATCTCCCACTCGTAAATCAAGATTTAACTACTTAAGTAATTATACATTTACAATTAATAAATAATATTTACAAAATAAACTAGTATAAAGTGCCAAAGTGAAGATGATCACAACTGAAAGTGATATACATTTCTCTAGTAAATAAGCAAGTCACATAATTTAATAACTTAATTGGTTCACCATACTACAACAAATTATATAAAAGTAACAACCGTAAGTCTTTAGACCATATCAAACAATACTTAAAAAATCAACATCAACCAAAGGCACCAATCAACAATAATAAAAACCATGCCCATTATCAAAATCAAGATTTCCTAAACTCAACAATGTAAATCAAATGTAATTGTGAAAAATGACAATCAACTAATTACTTTCAAGCAAGATTTTGAGGAAATCAGAAATAACCCATACGGTAATATAAATAATTAGTAATGTTCAACAAGTTTAATAGTCACATAAGATCTAATTTATAGTGAGAAAGGGATATCAGGCACATGCAACACATTCCATCTTTGCTCCATTTTTTCAGATAAAAAATAATAATCGCATGCAGCAACCAACCAAGAATAATCAAAATTTACAATATATATATATATATATACCACATTAGCCAAGACTTGGGAATTAAAGTCAATAAAATATTTCAATCACAAAAATTAACAAACAAACGAGAATATCATCAAATTAGGATTACAATTGGATTTAGGAAGACCTGAGACATCTATGACTATGACGGTGACTCTGATTTTTTTTTTTTTATAATTTTATTTGATTTTTGAAGTGACCTGTCTAGAAGAGGGAAAATCCTTGCCTCTTCTTACAAATGTGTGTGGATCAGAGAGAGAGAGAGAGAGAGAGAGAGAGAGAGAGAGAGAGAGAGAGAGAGAGAGTCATGTTTGAAAGCAACTCAAGCAAGCATAAACATATTTTCGATGATTTGAATGACCAATACACGTGTTTAGATCTTGGATTTGTGGAGGGAATTGTGAATACTATAGTCATTAATGTATACAAGGTTATTGTAAATCAATCATGTAAGGTTTCTAAATTTGGCCAAATTATACAAAAAGAGAATCTACTACTCAACAGTTCTAATAAAAAATTGTGACTTCATTAGTCAGGAGAAGAGAAAGGTGACCATAATGCTTTGATGATCCTCAAAACACAATATGAGCTTTTAGTCAACAACAAAAGATGAATATATAAATAAAGTGTAAATTATGCAAATAGTCTTTATAATTTACATGATGTGTCAATTTGGTCCTTATAGTTTCAATTTGCTCGATTTTGCCCCTTAGTTTAACGGATTGTGTCATTTTAGTCCAATAAATAACGGTTGTTAAGTTAATTTAACGAAAGGTTAAACAATGTGTCAATTTGGTCCTTGTACTTTACACGATGTGTCAATTTGGTCCCTGTAGTTTCAATTTTCTCGATTTTGACAGGGACTAAATTGACATATTGTAGAAAATACAGGGACCAAAGTGACACATTGTTTAACTTTCCGTTAAATTAACTTAAAAATCGTTATTCATTGGACTAATGATACAATCTGTTAAATTAAGGGACAAAATCGAGCAAATTGAAACTACAGGGACCAAATTGACATATCGTGTAAACTATAGGGACTATTTGTATAATTTTCCCA